GATGAGGGTGGGTGGGTTGGGAAAGAGCGTGAACCCAGCGCACACCACACAATACGTCCCGCGTGGTGGTGTGCGCGGAACCTTGGCAAACCCTAAAACCCTAAACCCTAAACCCTAAACCCTCCAACCCTAAAACCCTAAACCCTAAACCCTAAACCCTCAAACCCTAAACCCTAAACCTTAAACCCTCAAACCCTAAACCCTAAACCCCAAACCCGAAAGCCCGGTACTACTGGGGAACCTAAAACCCTAAACCCTAAACCCTAAACTCCCTAAACCCTAAACTCCCCAAAAGAGAAAGGGCAAAAGGGTACTACTGGGGAACCTAGGAACCCTAAACCCTAAACCCTAAACCCTAAACCCTATAACCCTACTACTGGGGAGCCGGGTCTCGCCCACCAGTGCAGCCTGGCCTGTGGAGAAGATCAAAGAGTCATCCTCGTGGCAGACCCGCGTAGCCAGGCTCCTTTGTGGGGTTTAGGGTTTAGGGTTTAGGGTTTGGGGTTTAAGGTTGAAAATCTAGGGTTTAGGGTTTAGGGTTTAGGGTCTAGGGTTTAGGGTTTAGGGTTTAGGGCTCCTTTGGGCCAGGTCCATGTTCTTCGCATCGTGCGCGGAGCTCCGGCGCCAGACGCGAGCCCCTTCGACTTGCTCGTCGAAGCCATGGCCGAGGAAGGAAGGCGACAGGAGGATGCTGGTGAAGAGGATCCTTGTTCATGGTTGGGGTAGTATTAAATTTTTTTTAATATATATTCCTTATTGGATTTAAGTACCCTTAACAATGTAAAATGTTACCCAACTATGACAAAGGATCTGCATCGCGGCGTTCAGGAGCAGCAGGAAGACTGAGAAGAGGCTGTCGGAGATGGACTGCGAAGTCAAAACCAGGGGTAAGCTCCAGGCGCTCTTCCGATCGAAGCAGACCATGTTGACTTCACCAGAATCCTGCGATTCCGTCGCCTGTGGCTCGGCTGCTTTGACTGCTGAAACCTTCACAGCATCCTCCTGTTGTCCGAACAGGCACATCGTGGCGCTGCCCGAAGCCGTGATGTCAACGGCATCTGCATTCGGATCTTTCTCACCCGGAGGGGATTTGTTGAGTTCGGTGGACTTCGCGAAGTTCCGGGGGTCCTCCGACGCCAGGTCGACCAGCTCGACGTCGACTGGGTTATTGAAGTTATTGTTGGATAGAACCACCGAGTTCAATCGCGCATCCAACCTTTGGATCTCGCGAGCAACCTCTTCACGCAACTTGTCCAAGGCACCGTCCACGTACACTCTGTCAGCGGGCACGCTCGGCATGTTGCGAGGCCAAGCGAGTCCGATTGCCACGACTTCATCTGCAGCTCAGAACGGCTGCGCACTGACATTCCAAGTGAAGCAGCCTTGACTCTCAACTTGCTGCCCTGCATCTTGCAACACTTCAACATGAATCATGTAGGGGCCTTAATAATTAGAATAGGGTTTTGGGGCCCATGATACCATAAATATAACAAGGAACCTCCACAATAAATAGTTCTGGCAGTTATTTAATAACTAGAAGAAGGTTTTGGGGCCCATTATACGATAATTCGATTAAGGAACCCCCCAGAATAGTACTGGCAGTTATTTAGGCCCCTCCAGTGGCTACAAACCCTAAACTCTAAACCCTAAACCCTAGACGCCCTAGACCCTAAACCCTAAACCCTAAACCCTAAACCCTAAACCCTAAACCCTAAACCCTAAACCCTAAACCCTAAAACCTCAACCCTAAACGCTCAACCCTACAGCCTAAACCCTCCATTAGCCACCACCGACAGACCAGGCCCTGCTTCTCAGCCCAAGGCGGTCAGCAGCTCCAGCAGCACCACACCGAAAGAGAACACCTCCCAAATTGAAGCTTAGGGTTTAGGGGTTTAGG